GTTGAGTGCTTTCGGAATAAGGAGTTTCCTCGCAACAGGAAGGACACATCTGGTACGCCTCGACATCAACTGCTGACCTTCACTCGAGTAGTTCATTTACTCAACTGACCGATAAAATGCTATACACCCAAGTAATGAGAATGATTAGCATTATTACACACACATTCCACACGCATACATTCACACGCTCGTTCCACACTTTCTTTGTACAAAACTTTGTGCAAAGAGCGTCAAATTTGTGAAAACAACGACCATACTTTTGCGCAAAAAAGTCAACTTTGGGCAAAGAACGTCAACTATGTGAAAACAACGACCACACTTTGCAAAAACAACATCAACTTCGGGCAAAGAACGTAGACAACTTTGTGCGAATAATGTGCACACTTTGTACGAACGTCATCTTTGTGCGAACAGCATCGAGTTTGAACGTCAACTTTGCAAGAACAACGTCCACACTTGTCCGAACAGCGCCGAATTAATCCACTACGAGGAAACGAGAAATTATTTATCGATTGACTTGCGGGAAAACACGGTTGTGCCCAGAAGGACAACCGAGGAGTACTAGGAGTGAGTTTCCGAGACGAGCAGCTTTCGGAAATAGCTCATACTCACGATAGCCGCCATGATGGTTTTCGTGTTATAATGCAAATTAGCTACGTTGTCCGCCAGGGGGGCAAACATTGAATGGTTCCCATTTTTCTGAAAATCGGCTCGCCTAAATGGTCAAGTATCTGCACCAAAATCACAGTTGGGAGCCAAGTTATGGAATAATGATTTTATTATTAATTTAAGTTTGAAAAAGTTTCTTGATAACTTGACTTATAAACTACGCGAGCCGTTTTCTTTTTATAAAAGCGCCGAAATTCTGTAAAACTTGGAATATTTTCCCCCAATACTGAAACCAAAGCATGGATATGAAACAATTATCAGACATGATAAGAAACCAGCTGAAATATGCCGATTTTTGCTTGCTTGCCCCCTCAGAAATCACGTGTATAATGTAAAAACAAACATGGCGGTTATCGTGAATAAGGCCTATTGTCGGCTATTCCAATATGGCGAACTATACGTAAACACCAGTTACATAATTCATCTTAAGGTGGCTCCCTAGAGTATTTACGAACACCCTCCCTATAGAGCGCGAGTTAGAAAAGGAAACTTAGTTAATTTCTCACTACGTTTTCCCCGTAGAGATTTACCAGTATGGCTACTGTTAAAATAAGGCTTATTTTTTGATTGTCAATTTTTGGATTAAGGCCGTTACCATGGCAGCATCTCATCTAATGTCAGGCAGATATATTCCTCATTTTGGCTTAAGCTCCTTAATATTTATACTTTCCTTCGGTGAAATTTTTTCATACTTTGCCACATCATGGAAATGATATTGCCTGACATTTTGAATTGGTAAAAGGTCAAGGTTGTTCAGACGGTTTTTCCAATATCCTGTAATTTGTCATTCTTCTAAATATATTAGATTAGCTCTGACAGATTTCAACAAATATAGAGCATTTAATAGGAATTGTATGTGATTACAACTGAGCCAAATTTAAAAAAATTCACCGAAGGAAACGCGAGAAAATTCACTGTCAGATTTGCTTTTTGTGCTCATGTTGATGTCATAAAAATCGAAATGTTTGGCGAAGTGGCGAACCTCTTTTTGCGTGATGATAGAAAAAGGACCAATGAAAGGTAATTTAAAGTAAAAAGTGCGAGTAGTGTCAGAGACGGCAGCCGGGGGATTACAGTCGTGACGAGTAAATGTGAGGTAACGATTAGTAATATTTTCAACTAGATGGACTGGAAAAAAATTATTTTGAAGGATGTTGGTAAGTTTCATGATGGCCTCGTGAAAACCCAACCAAGTGTTGTTGATCTTGTAGGCTCTATTAACAAGCGTGCGAATGAGACCCAGTTTGTACGAATGCGATGTAAAACTAAGGTAATTAGTCAATAGTCAAGATTTTCTCACGGTTAACACTAGTAACTAGTAACTCGCTCCTGTTCTTTCTAATTTATTTATGGGGCATCACGAAAAATTATGGTTGGAAAAATTTTCAGGACTCCGAGATATTATTTTACCGACGTAATGTTGATGATACATTTTGCTTATTTCATTCGAAGAGTCAAGCGCTACTATTTTTTGACTATATTGACTCTTGGTACCCTAACATCAGATTTACAATGGAAAAAGACAGAGAGATCACAAAAAAAAACCTTTCTTAGATGTTCTGATCAACAACGACACTCATTTTCCTGTTACTAGTGTTTACCGTAAGAAGACGTTCACGGGCCTATTGACTAATTCCTTTAGTTTTACAAGCCGTTAAGGAGAAGCTATACATTTCCCTCAGTTCTTTATTTAAACGCTGACAAACATACTATTGTAGTTTGAAAACAGCAGATGATACTTGTTGAACCGACCTGTGGGTAATTCTAAAAGATACGTTTCACTTTTTGCACTAAAAAGGGACAAGTGGCGCAACCTGACATCACATGACACATAAAAATCCGCGTAGAAACATAGTATATAACACTAACCATGCTAGAACTCATGCCTCTTACATGCTGGGTTCTACGGTTCTACCATAAGAAAAACCACTCAACATTTGCGTGTGATCCCGTATGCAATGTATCCTCCACCTAATATATAGAAGACAAGAACACTAACTAATCTACGCATGCGGTTAGAGCAAATTGGTTTTGTTGCCGGTTTTGTTCAGAAGAGAACAGTACCACAAGGAGAGCGAGGGGTTACCGTTGAAATATGACGGTCTAATTAGCGGTAGTTTATGCTGCTCAGCTTCTGCAGTTTGCCCAGCAGACGTCTGAGACAAAGTTTGTAAGATCAAAAATCTCGTGCCCTCCACCGGTGAGGTGATAATTGACCACGTTCCCAGTCTCGGCCGAGCGGTTGACGACAGCAAACTGATCAACTTAGCGGCGTCAAGCATAAATTGCCGCTGTTTTGACCGTCATATTTCAACTTCTTGTCCACGGTGAAAACTCAATGTGTACTTCACTGGAGTGCAGAAAGAGAAAGTAAAAACCTTACATTGTGAGTTCAGCGAGAAATATTGTGAGTAAATGCTATTTATGTGTGCAAATTTGACTCGTTTCTTAGGAGTGTTTTGTCAGTTTCCTAACTTGTCTCTTATTATAACACCGTAGGGCAAATAAATCAAAACTAACTCAAATCTCGTTTAAACTCTCCAGGATGAGAAAAAATGGTACCACTGAATGTTCAAGAGTATTTATTCCGTAAATTAGCCATACATTGATCGATTTCAATGCCATCTTTTTATCTCCATACAACTCTTATATTTCAGCCACGGTTAACCATACAAACTCTTACGTTACGCTTGCGTGACCTGTGCATGAATAAGTTTATTTGCATCTTCAAGCTAGAGTTAAAAGATTAAGGTATGAAAAGAAAAGAACAGGAGCTGTGCGAGCGAGCTGAAGGAAATGAGAGTTGGGAAGAGGAGCCAGCTGATCGACAAGCTTATGGCCTGGAAGATGAATTTGACCGAGAGTTCTGGATTAAGGTATCAAACTTTTATGATTTTTTTAATATGTTATTTAAGAATTTGAATACCGAGTTTGGATTGTCATCAATGTGTGATATTGATATGAGGTAAATTATAATTTGATTATTTAA